AACTCGAGAATCATTTTATAAAACTCGAGAATCGTTTTATAAAACTCGAGAATCATTTTATAAACCTCAAGAATCGTTTTATAAAACTCGAGAATCGTTTTATAAAACTCGAAGAATCGTTTTATAAAACTCGAGAATCGTTTTATAAAACTCGAGAATCGTTTTATAAAACTCGAAGAATCGTTTTATAAAACTCGAGAATCGCTTTATAAAACTCGAGAATCGTTTTATAAAACTCGAGAATCGTTTTATAAAACTCGAGAATCTTTTTATAAAACTCGAGAATCGTTTTATAAAACTCGAGAATCGTTTTATAAAACTCGAAGAATCGTTTTATAAAACTCGAAGAATCGTTTTATAAAAGTCGAGAATCGTTTTATAAAACTCGAGAATCGTTTTATAAAACTCGAAGAATCGTTTTATAAAACTCGAAGAATTGTTTTATAAAACTCGAGAATCGTTTTATAAAACTCGAGAATCGTTTCATAAAACTCGAGAAATCGTTTTATATAACTCGAAGAATCGTTTTATAAAACTCGAAGAATCGTTTTATAAAACTCGAGAATCGTTTTATGAAATCGCAAAAAACCAAAAAAGCCGTAAACGCGAACTAGTCACGACTAGTTCGCCTATCGGCGAACTAAGCCGGCCCGGCTTAGTTCGCCGATGGGCGAACTAAGGACACTCCACTATAAAAGATATGCAAACTTTTGGTCAGCACTTCCGGGCGACTTAGAAATTGTCCCCGGTGAGATGCTCGATTCCAACCAGACGAGACGTATAAGCCGAGAACCTATCGCGGACTCTAAATCGGTATGGAATCAGGTTGAAATCGCAACAGGCAAAACGAAAGCCGACTAGTCATCGCAAAGCCTCAAACCGAAACTAAACCTAGGTCTTGCCTTAAACCCAGCACACTGGTCTCTAACGTCTCAAGGCATTATTCGAGATCCTAAAGGCATGTCTCTTCGTTCATATCTAAACGCTCACCAAATTTCAAAACATTCCGGAACGGGCAAACGAACAGGGCGATCTACAAAATGAGTTAGACTATGAGACGACAACTCATATTCTTCCCTCTACATTCATACGAATAAAAACACGCTCTTAAAACGCAAACTGATAATAAAGCCGCAAAGCG